TGACGTCACATTTCTCAAACGCCTCCTCCCCCCCTCGTCACACATCGTTACAAATGTCTGACCCCCCTCCCCCCCCCTAGGTGCGTGACGTCATTTATGGACGGCCCCTAGGCTAACATTGCTCATAGACTAACATTGCCATAGACTAATATTTCACATAGATCAACATTGCAAAATGCTAACATTGCTCAGACTAACATTGTCCATAGGCTAACATTGCCATAGTCGAACATTGCCCATAGTCGAACATTGCCCATAGTCGAACATTGCCCATAGACTAGCATTGCCTATATCCTAACATTGCCCATAGACTAGCATTGCCTATAGCCTAACATTGCCCATAGACTAACATTGCCCATAAACTAACATTGCCCATAAACTAACATTGCCCGTAGACAAACATTGCCCATAGACTAACATTGCCCATCGACTAACATTGCCTATAGCCTAACATTGCCCATAGACTAACATTGCCCATAGACTAACATTGCCCATAGGCTAACAGAATGTCGAGGTGCTGCTGCTGCTACCACGACGAGAGATCTTCAGCAGAGAGAAAGTTCGTGTGGTGCTGCTGCGGGCCACAAAGTCGGTTCCACCGTGTACGTAGCGTGTACGGAGCATGTACGTAGCATGCACGTAGCATGTGCGTAGCATGTACGTAGCATGCGCATTGGACTTATTTTGCAGGGTGCGTTGTGAACACCTGAGCTAAATCGGAGGCGCCTATCGGTGGCGTTTCACCCTTGGTCCGTTTGTTTACGACCGAGGGGTGGGTGACCCTAGAGCGACTGGCTGGAGGAGTCCACCCCGATCGTAAAAGTGGGCAGCCTCGCAGCTCCTCTGGGACAGCAGTTGACCTCGCGCGAGATAACCTATCAGGGCGCGCCGTCTCCAAACGCGACAGACCACGGGGCCGATGTCAAGTTAACCGAAGCACGGCGACTCTCCACGCCTCTGTGTATATACAGGGACTACTCCTCTACCTACGAACATTCGACTTACGAACTTTCAGAGACACGAACAAACCTGCCTCCGTATGTCCAGTTTGCCTGTTCGGACCGAGAGTCGTAATTTCGACCGCCCCGCGCAATATAGATGGCGGTGGTGGCATCTACATCTACAGAACGTGAAGAACCAGTGGCATCTACATCTGCGAAATGTGAAGAACCAGTGGGATCTACATCTGTGGAACGTGAAGTATCAGTGGAATTTCCATCTGCGGAACGTGAAGAACCAGTGACATCTACACCAGCGGAACGGGAAGAACCAGTGGGATTTTTTAAAAACACATTCCATCTGCTGCCGCGGCCTCAATGGCGAGTGCAGGATTTCCGGCAGCGTGAACGAAAAGCCCTGGACCCCGGTTTGTTGACATTGAATTGTCGTTCATCATCAGAGTTGGGCTTCCTAGAAAACGTTGCTTCAATGCGAGCAAAAACACTCTGGGACCGGTTTCGACATTCAGTGTCTGATCAGCAGCAGCAGCAGAGTCAGGTTTCCTTGAAAAATTGTTTCAATACGTGCTAAAATTTCGGACCGGTTTCTACGTTCAGTGTTGCATCAGCAGCAACAGCGGCAGAAGGAGAGTCAGGGGCACATTGCTTGAACCGACGCTGGTGAACTGCCCAAATGTTTTCGGCAAGGGCCGGTTTCGACATTCCGCGTCTCATCATCATCATCAGCAACAGCAGAGTCAGCAGAGTCAGCACACATTAACCACTAGTTCCACCGCGCTCCTGAACACAACTTGCGCATTGTGCAATTGATTGCGCAACGAATATTACAGGAAACGGTGCTAATGATTAAAGGAGACGATGATGCATTGGCTGGTGCGATGATGATCATTAGCCCCGGGAATTTTCATCATCACCCGCGGGAGACAAAGACTCCGCTGACTCCCCAGGTCACCTTTGCCGAGTCACGACGGAAACTGTTGGACGATTTCGATGAAATTCCACGAAGATTGAAGAAACACAAAATGATGATAATGACGATGATTTACATTTGTAAAGTGGGGGATGTCATCCGTAGACCCCCCCCCAACCCTCGTAACCCCCTTGAACAATGCGATAGAGGACAAGACACAGCCAATGTGGGACGCCGTGGTGTCCAACATAGGCTGTGTGTTGGCGAGGCGATGTTAACTCCCTCGCCTGGTATACAGGAGGGCATAGGTTCGATCCCTACCCCTCACACCTGCTGTACATTTGGAGTTTGCGTGTCACTGTCTAATTACACTATGTAACACAAGTTTGGTTCCTGGGTAGTAAGTGTCATTTCGTAATTGCTTATGCCTAAAAAGTATAGAAAATGGCAATTATTCCCCACATACTTTGCTTTCGTGTCCAGGACAATGCTATTTTGAAATTTACCTATTTTCTATGAGAAAACGGGCGAATGTGTTCGTTTACATAAAAATCAGAAAAAAACAACATACGAATCAAAATTAACATGTTTTTTATACTAAATTAACACAAAATTACTACAAAAGATTTATAAGTGAGTACTGTAAATCACTTCCACGAATCAGCCCCCAAATGTAGTTTCCCATCACGTTCTCGTTATATTGTCCTTGGTAGCGGCGTTCAAAGTCCAGTATGTCCTGGTGGAAGCTCTTGCCTTGCTCCTCCGAGTACGCTCCCATGTTCTCCTTGAATTTATCAAGATGAGCATCAAGGATATGGACTTTGAGGGACATCCTACAGCCCTTTGTGACATAGTTCTTCACCAGTCTCAACCAGCTACACATAGTTTTCGACCTTGTGCTTGTCCAGGAAGCCACAAACCACTGCGACAAAGCTATTCTAAGCCACTTTCTCCTTACTAGTGAGCTTCTTGGGGAATTAACTGCACTCCAGGATCTTCTTTATCTGTGGTCGGACGAAGACACCGGCATTGACATTTGCCTCAGACAGCTTCGGGAAGAAGTCTTGAAGGTACTTGAAGGCTGCCGACTCCTTATCTACAGCTCTGACAAATTGTTTCACAAGGCCCAATTTGATGTGCAGTGGTGGCATCAGCACCTTCCGGGGGTCCACCAGTGGCTCCCCACTTGACGTTGTTCCTCCCCACAGAGAACTCGGTCCGCTGTGGCCAGTCCTGCCTGTGGTAGTGCGCCTTGGTGTCTAAATCTTTCTTCGTCTTTTTTGTATTACTTTAGTATGAATACATGTTCATTTTGATTCATATGTTGTTTTTTTTACTGGTAGGAACGAAGTTGTAAACTGAGTGTACCAGCCTCCAATAGATTAATGTGTCCGTCCGTCCGTCCCCTTTCAATACTTTAACGAAGTGAAATCTCGTGCTGTTGGGGTGTAAAATCAGCAATAGACAGCGCAGAGACTTGTCCTACCAGCCCACCCTGCAGGGACCTGTTACTGGTAGGAACGACGTTGTAAACTGAGTGTACCAGCTTGCAATAGATTAATGTGTCCGTCCGTCCGTCCATCCGTCCCCTTTCAATACTTTAACGAAGTGAAATCTCGTGCTGTTGGGGTGTAAAATCAGCAATAGACAGCGCAGAGACTTGTCCTACCAGCCCACCCTGCAGGGACCTGTTTACAACTTTATGTGAGCGAAAAGACACAAATTCGCCCGTTTTCTCATTGAAAATAGGTACATTTCAAAATATCACTGCCCTGGTCATAAAAACAAAGCTTGTGGGGAATAATAATAGCCATCTTCTGTACTTTTGAGGCGTAAGCAATGAGGAAATAACATTTACTACCCAGGAACAAAACACAAATTGTTACACAGTGTTATCATCACGGTGGCTAGGAGCTGTTAACTCCCTAGCCTGGTATACAGCAGGTTCTTGGTTCGATCCCTGACACCTGCTGTATATTTGGAGTTTGTGTCTCTCTCTCTCTCTCTCTTACTCTCCCCGTGGCCGCGTCGATTTGTCTCCGGGTCCTCCGGTTTATCCCTCAACATTTAGAATCAACGTGCCTTTGTATGTATGTGTGATGCACTTCTTTCGCGGCGTACGTAGCAAACCGTGCCAACCGGACGACAACCTCAACACAAAAAGCAGTTTTAAAGAAATTAGTTTTCAATCAGTATTTGGCTCCTATAAATGTCCACGTGATTGGTGTGCCGAAGTCGCTTCTGAATAAGATATACGTAGCTCAGTGGGCCTTACCTGGCGAAATCAAGAGTGCAGTTTAGTTCAGGATGTTGCTCATTTTATCCACCCCCAGACGGATGGATGGGATGATGGGTCCGAGTCAATTAGCTGGTGATGATGCTGCTGCTGCTGCTGCTACTGCATTGGCAATGATGTGCACAGGTACAATCACCACTCAAGAAGCACTGTCAACCACAACAACTACCACCAACAAAGACAAAGATTCCCCGTATAGCCTTTAAGAGACTGTTGGTGACAAGTGCTGTCAGCGAGCCCTACCTATGGACGCCGGACCGGCACACGGGGGACGGTGAGTGTGCCAGAATCACGCCCGGTCGCCTTTGTCTCCCTATTGCTAACATTTGCACACCACATGAGGTACTCCATTAAGGCTGAGTCGACCTAGGGGAGGCCCAGGGACCGGTTCGGATAGCCATCACTGGTGTTGGTGGTCGTGAGCGGGAATCGAACTCGGGTCGCCCGGTTGGTAGAGCAGCGTTGCGCTAACCGCTGCACCACCGCTCCCCACTCACCACCACCAACAGACAGATCACCCTGCATAGCGTTAACAGACTGTTGGGGCAAGCGCTGTTAGCGAGTAGTACGGGTGAAGGCCGGCACCGTGGCACACGAGGGGGAGGGTGTCCAGCACCACGCCCGGGCAGCCTTTGTCTCCCTACTAGTGGCGATGTTTACACATCGCACCAGGTGCTCATTTTAGGCCGAGTCGACCTAGGGGAGACCCTGGACGGGCTCAGATAATCGTGACTTAACGTTACTTGCTCTTTAAAAAAATTCGTACCCGAGGCTCTACGGGTGACCTTTATCTTTGTGTGTGTGTGTGCGCGTCTGTAGAATGCATTCCTCTTACGTGCAGTGAACTTGCGTGAGTTGGCTGTAATAGTTGAACATGAAGACGCTGATGCAGATGACGGCCAGCAGGAAGGGCACGGTGATTTGTCTCGTCAGGTGCCCCACGACCCTGGCCATCGTTTTCGATGAAAGCAAACTCCAGTTGGTCCACCAAGCGATCGACCAAGCGACCGACCAAGCGATCGACCAATCAATCGACCAATCAATCAACCAATAGATCAACCAAGCGATCGACCAATCAATTGACCAATCAATCAACCAATAAATCAACCAAGCGATCGACCAATAAATCAACCAATCAATCAATCGATCAACCAAGCGATCGACCAACAACGGCTACAGCAGCGCTCGACTCTGGTCTGCGAACTTGGAAGTATTTCGCACGCGCGCCCACAAAGATAGAGACAAAGGTCCAACACCCAACAAACCCCAACCTACCCGTCCCCACCCTCACGGCAGAATGTCGGGGCAAGTGCTGATAGCGACCGGCTACGATGGAGAGAGAGAGAGGCTGGCACACGCTGCAAGGTGGAGAGGAGGCGGGTCGAGAAGACACCACACAAAAGATACAGGGTCCCTCTCCCCTCCACCCACCACCCAGATAGCTTGCAACATAAATCGGTGCAGGTCCTCGCTCATAATAGAGGGGTTTTTTTTTTAGGTGAGATGGCGTAAATATGATTTTTCATATAACAAATATATTAATATATAATAAATATAACAAATATATTCGAGGTTTGAGTTAGATCGCTTAATTAGAATATACAAAAAATATATTTTTTAAAAACAACAAATATATTTATGCGATCTCACCCAAAAACCTCTATCATGGATAATAATGGTCGCGAAAGACCACTACGTGTCGAGCCAAGCGCTTGCTGTTAGCGAGAACAGCAGCACCTGTGAAGGCTGCCGGCACTGTGGCACACGATGGAGGGGGGCAGAAACCACGCCCGACCGCCTTTGTCTCCCTAAGCGGCGATGTTTTTTTTTTTCTCACCGCACCGGGCACTCGTTTGAGGCCGAGTCGACCTAGACGGGTGGGGTGGCCCAGGACGGGGTTCGAATATTGGCTGCCACGTTGTCAGTGGCTGTTCGAGTGCACCTCGAACTCGGGTCGGCGTGGGTCGCCGTGCGGCGCTAACCACTGCGCCACCGGCTCCCCACTTTACGGCACAAAGACAAAGATCCCCCGTGTAGCCTTTAAGAGACTATCGGGGCAAGCTCTGTTAGCGAGTAGCAGGCTCTCTGTCAGGGCCGACACGGTCACACGAGTTGGGTGGGTGGGTGGCCAGCCATCCCGCCCGGCCGCCTTTGTCTCTCGAGTGACGATGTTCACACAAAGGACACGGATAAACACACACACACACCTCAATTTGAACATTCTTCAGGCTCGGCAGTTCGTCGTGTACTGAAGTTTACGCAATCTTCCATCCCCTCCCCTTCTATTCCCTTCTCTCTCTCTCCTCTCGTCACCACCATCACCGACACAGGTGTACCCCACAATTCACCACCATTGTTTCAGAAGCAACGCGTTCCTCTGGGGTTTTTTTTTCTCCTTTAAGCGGTGGCGGGGGGTGGGGGAATCCGGTTTTTGTGACTGGTTTCGTCGCAATGGAATTTGTCCGCACGCTCGAGACGGGAGCGAGAGAGTAGGGGGTGGGGTGGGGTAGAGAGAGGGGTTCGACTACACAAAGTATCTTCTTGTTTCCTCTGATCGTTAAAAATAGAGAGAGGGTGTAGAGAGAGAGGGAAGGTGTAAGACAGGGGGGGGGGGGGGCACAAAAAGCAAAGCATTGAAAAAACGAAATGATGAACGAAGCAAAGTGACGACTACACCGAGCATCTTCTTGTTTCCTCTGATCGTATAAAAAAAATAATAGAAAAGAGAGGAATGGGGTGGGCTCCCAGCATCGACACGTGGACATGCAACCAAACGAAATTATTTTATATTACCAGGTAAGGCCCCATTGAGCTGCTACGTAGCTGTTTTTCAGAAGCGACCCTGGCTATAGCAAATGATAGCTCCAACGAAGTGGGCCTAGCATCTTTATCATCATCGAGTGGAAATGCATGGCAGCAGCCAAATACTCTAAACGCGTGGTGACGTTCATTCTAAATGTGGAGGGGAAAACTGGAGGCCCCGGAGAAAAATCCACGCGACCACGGGGAGAGAGACACGCAAACTCCACATATACAGCAGCAGGCGTCAGGTTTGGGATCGAACCCACGACCTTCAGCATACAAGGCGAGGTAGTTAACATCTCCTAGCCACCGTGATGATGAGAGAGAGAGACACACAAACTCCAAATATAAAGCAGCAGGCGTCAGGTTTGGGATCGAACCCACGACCGCGAGGTAGTTATAATCTCCTAGCCACCGTGATGATGATGAGAGAGAGACACGCAAGATTCAAATATACAGCAGCCATCAGGGTCGGGATCGAACTCAGCATTGCTCATAGACTCAACACTGCACCATAGACTCAACACTGCACCATAGATTCAACACTGCACAGGAGGTTGTGTGTGAGATCCCGACCCTGACACCTGCCGCTGTATATTTAGAGTCTGCGTGTCTTCTTTCTCCCCGTGGTGGTCACGTGGGGTTTTCTCCGGGCCCTCCGGGTTTACCCTCCAACATTCAGAATCAACGCCACGCGTTTAGAGTATTTGACTTGCTGCTTTAAATTTCTACGCGATGATGAAGATGATAAGTCCACTTCGTTGGAGCTATCAAGTTGTGATGGCCAGGAGGTCGCTTCTGAAAAAGAGCTACAAAGCTGCTCAGTGGGCCCTTACCCGGTAAAATAAAAACAATATCGTTTAATAGTTTAATGACCTATGATGTTGCCGTGGATTACATCCCAGGGACTCCACCCCCCCCCCCTGTCCCCCCCCCGCCCCCCACTTTGGCAATGTCTTTATCTCGTGCCCGTGACCAGAGAGACCGCTTGAACCTTTGACCTTTTGCTGATGGGATTGTGTAAAAACAAAAGCAATCGTCAATACACCTTTCATGAAGTCTCAGAAAATATTTTTTTGCGTAGAGAAACAGACGCGGCGGAGGGAGGAAGCGAATTTCTCCGCTCCTCTGCCCCCGCCGTCTGCATTCCGATCTCGCGATGCCGCAGCGAGTTGAGTCGAATCCGGAGTCGGCTGGCACTGAGTCGGTCCTGCTGAAGGTACGCCATTGGGCTGATGGGGTGTGTAAAACATTACTTTTCTCTACGTATTTTCTCACTTTTTTGTCGCGACGAGACAGATGTGCGAAGTTAAACCGATTATTTTTCATTTACCACGTTAAGGCCCCCCGCTGAGCTATACTATAGATATTTTCTTAGAAGCGACCTGGCCACAAAGGATTGCTCAACCAAGTGAATTATCCCGTGGAAATGGAGAGCCGCCAAACACACAAAACGCTCGATTATAAATGGAGAGGGATAAAACCGGAGGACCCCGGAGAAAAATCCACGCGACCACGGGGAGAGAAAGAGAGACATTCAAATCTACGTCCTCCTGTATACCAGGCGAGGAAGTGAACATCTCCTAGGCACCGTGATGATGATGCTAATGATGAGAGACACGCAAACTCCAAATATACAGCAGGCTTCAGGATCGGGATCGAGCCCATGACCTCCTTCATACCAGACGAGGTAGTTAACATCTCCACAACCGAGTCGATAGCGCGGACGGCAGAGGCTCTGCACCGCTAGGGTACAACAAACTCACGACTACCAACTCGAAGCTGAGCTAAACACTTGGGTCGCTCGCTCGGGTTACTCTGCCCCCTAGGGTCTATGGGTCTGTAGGTCAAGTCTATGAGTCTCGATGTGCTACTGGTACAGGGCTGTAAGCCTGTGGCTCTCTCTGTCAGTCGATGGGTCTCTGTGTGAGTCTATGAGTCTCTATGTCAATCTATGAGTCCCTTAATCTATGGGTCTCTGTGTGAGTCTGTGTCTCTGTGTGAGTGTATGGAGCTCTATGTAATTCTACGAGTTTATATGTGAGTGGGTCTCTATATTTTTCTATGGGTCTCTATGTAATTCTATTGGTCTGCATATCAATTTATATTTCTCTTAGTCAACGGGTCCCTATGAGTCTGTGGGTTTCTATATGCGTTTATGGGGCTCTTTTTGAGTCTGTGGGTCTCTATATGAGTCTATCGGTCTCGCTTTGAGTCGATGGGTATCTTTGTGAATCTATGGATCTCCATATCAATTTATTTTTTATCTTAGTGTTCGGGTCTCTATATGAGTCTATGGGTCTCTCGTGGAGTCTATGGGTCTCTGTGTGAGTCTGTGGGTCTCTGTGTGAGTCTATGGGTCTCTGTGTGAGTCTGTGGGTCTCTGTGTGAGTCTATGGGTCTCTGTGTGAGTCTATGGGTCTCTGTGTGAGTCTGTGGGTCTCTGTGTGAGTCTATGGGTCTCTGTGTAAGTTTATGGGTCTCTGTGTGAGTCTGTGGGTCTCTGTGTGAGTCTATGGGTCTCTCGTTGAGTCTATGGGTCTCTGTGTGAGTCTGTGGGTCTCTGTGTGAGTCTGTGGGTCTCCATATCAATCGATATTTTTCTTCGTCTCCGGGTCTCTATATTAATCTACAGTGAGGGAAAAAAGTATTTGATCCCCTCTCAATCAGAAAGATTTCTGGCTCCCAGGTGTCTTTTATACAGGTAACAAGCTGAGATTAGGAACACACTCTTAAAGGGAGTGCTCCTAATCTCAGCTTGTTACCTGTATAAAAGGCACCTGTCCACAGAAACAATCAATCAGATTCCAAACTCTCCACCATGGCCAAGACCAAAGAGCTCTCCAAGGATGTCAGGGACAAGATTGTAGACCTACACAAGGCTGGAATGGGCTACAAGACCATTGCCAAGCAGCTTGGTGAGAAGGTGACAACAGTTGGTGCGATTATTCGCAAATAGAAGAAACACAAAAGAACTGTCAATCTCCCTCGGCCTGGGGCTCCATGCAAGATCTCACCTCGTGGAGTTGCAATGATCATGAGAACGGTGAGGAATCAGCCCAGAACTACACGGGGGGATCTTGTCAATGATCTCAAGGCAGCTGGGACCATAGTTACCAAGAAAACAATTGGTAATACACTACGCTGTGAAGGACTGAAATCCTGTAGCGCCCGCAAGGTCCCCCTGCTCAATAAAAGCACATATACATGCCCGTCTGAAGTTTGCCAATGAACATCTGAATGATTCAGAGGACAACTGGGTGAAAGTGTTGTGGTCAGATGAGACCAAAATGGAGCTCTTTGGCATCAATTCAACTCGCCGTGTTTGGAGGAGGAGGAATGCTGCCTATGACCCCAAGAACACCATCCCCACCGTCAAACATGGAGATGGAAACATTATGCTTTAGGGGTATTTTTCTGCTAAGGGGACAGGACAACTTCACTGCATCAAAGGGACGATGGACGGGCCATGTACCGTCAAATCTTGGGTGAGAACCTCC